CCAAGGACAAGATTGAAAAAATAGGAAGTCTCACAGCGAGAAAATGAATTAATTACGATTGTAAGTTGCAATTTGGTATACAAAAAAATAAATGAAGTATTAAGAAGAATAAAACTATTCCAAATATCGCCTGAAGCAATAAGAAAAGGACTCATCCAGGTAATAAGAAAACGACTCACCCAGGCGAGTTGCCTTCGGCGGACGTTTTAGAGCGACCGGTAATAGGAAATCGATTCGATGGCAATATTACCGGCAATAAATTTGTTTCCGAGGGCGACACGTTTTCTTATTGCCGGCAACACAAATTGTTTGGTGGGTATGTAGATGAAAAGAGTGTCGTAAAATACATACATATTTTTGACTCCATATACATATGTATGTGTGTATATTTTTTGTCATATTTTACATGTTTTTGCCTTTCATTCAACTACATCCAAGCCAAATCCAAGTTCAAGAAATTGAAGTAATAATTCTAGTTTCTTGTGTTACAAATATATTTATTTAAAAATAGAGGGAATTTGTATTTGAATTCTCAGTTGAATTTAACATTCCAGGCCAATGGAGAGATAGAAGTGGATATTTCATACTCGTACAAAAAAAAAAAAGAATGAGTGCGCCTGGCCGCGCTATAGAAATAGGCGTGAGTGCAGTGCAGCGGGACGCGGGGGAGCCAAGTTATGCACTCGCAAAATTAAAACTTACATGAGTACATATATTTATTTTCCATTATCCAATAAATCCGGAAATATCAAATAATTATTTAATTAATTTTATTAGTAATAATTTGTATCAATTTAAATAATTCGGTATCATACGTACATACATACATACATATGTACATATTTTTACAAAATCGAACAAACAAGCTCATTCAATATGGAACAAACATAATACTGTGGGTAATAGCGTAGCCGAGATATTGGTACGGCTAGAGCTGGTGCTTTGAAGCGCGGCCGAAGGTCGCCTACTCTAAAAGAAGTTGTGCGCGCAAAAATATTGGATATAGCATACCCGAATTTCGAAAAATTAAATCATATTTATTTTAATTATTTGTACTCAAAATAGTTTTTAAGAAAGGTTGTTAGTTTTTATGATTTAAAGGTGCCGCCAGGAGTTAGCATCGTAAATAATGGTCGGAATGTATTTTCTACAGATAACTTTTGAAACATTAAAAACAAAAAAAAATAGTTTCCGCTCCCGGATTCGTAATACAGGGGGTTTTTAAATGCTTTTTTTTGATACCCCTTTTGATGAAATAATTTGATGATTACCAATGATTTTCCCAATGTTAACACACGGCGAGAGTTTTTTTATTCACATTCCGAACATTCGGAATACATTTCTCTGTTCACTTATTCGTTAGAACATTGTTGCGGATACAATGGGGTCAGGAAATCTGAACACATTCTTTTCATTTCGTCTCTAGTACGGAATTCATAGAATATTGCATGAAAATAATGGCGATGAGAAACCAAATAGGTAAGTTCTTGCAAATTTTTTTGCGAAAAAGTTGAATTATGTAAATATTAATAAGTTGATGCCTAATAATTTCATTCTCATCTTTTTCTTTACCCACGTCTCCACCTTTCACAGATTCTGCTAAAAAAGCTGTGGTAAGACAGAAATGTCAGTTGGAGACCGCAAATTTCTACTTTTTAACCATATGTGTCGGGACGAATTTCTTACCATCGCTGTCTTAACATCAGCTGTCATTTTGTAGTTTGACAACTGCAAAAACGGGACAAAGTTAAAACAGAAATTTGACAGATGTTAAGACACATTCAGTAAAAAATGAAGACGAGTTCCTAATAAACTACGAATATTCTTTTCTAAATCCGGACTGCACAATAAAGAAACACGCCCATGGTCAATAAAGTCATATGATTTTATTTCCCAAACGAAATGGAAATAAGACCATATGACCTTCTTTCGTAAGGTGTTATTACACCCCAGATTTAAGACGGTACATTTTATTAAACCTCCTCAATTTGATACCCGTATTGTAATATTTCATTTATTTTATCAATTTATTTGAATAACATTTTTCAAACAGGTGGCAAGTGTTCTCATAAATTTTTTCGGCAGTAGGCTTTCCTAAATCTCGTTAGTTTGATATCAATATTGCAATATTTAATTTATCTTATCCATTAAATTAAATTAAAATTTTCAAACATGTAGCAACCTTCCACAAAAATTTTTTCGGCTGTACGGTTTATTAAACCTCTTTCTTTTGGCAGCCCTACTGCAATATTTATTTTATCATATCAATTTAGGAAATGGTGGCAACTCCCCCATTAATATTTTTTATTCTAAATTTTCATATACCGGCGGGTGTTCTAATTTTGACAGCGGTAATTTCGCTGTGGTGAGTTCGCCGTTCGCCGGCATTGTGTTTCTACGGATAGGCTTAGGTGAGGTGAGAAGAGGTGAAATGAGGTGAGCTGAAGTCAGGTAGGTTGAGCTAGGGTGAGCAGCATAAGATGCCAAAACATAGATTAAGCCTAGGTCTTAAATTAATCTCTATCTCTTCCTCTTTTTATGTGTCTATTCTTTTCCTCC